ATAAATCCATCACCAAAAACTAAAAAACAAAATACATAAATACATAGAGAATGTAAGTACAGTAGAACATGGATATAACAAACATGGATATAGCGAACAAACAGACTGTTAAATATCATATAAAATATACGTAAATAACGAACTCGCTACAGCGAACTAACGGCTTCAGCGAACTGATATCTGATCACTGACAAGCTCATCTACCACTAATTAGTGACGTGTATAGCTAACTGAGAAATCACACTCAGTGTCAGGTGTCACTGACAATTGGCTGTACGCATTCACCATGAATCATCACAATCAGCGGTGATGGATAAACCTTGCCAAACTTGCATTGTGTTAATCTTACCTGTACATGTAATCGTGTCTGTAAAACAAACATTAAACATATAAATTTTACGAGATTGTGTCCAAGTGTCAGTTCACTTGCATATGCTATCATGGCGGGCAAAAGTAAGAAGAATCTAATTTAATGTTATTAAATGAATGTTATAAAATGTTATCAATTGAATGCTATGAAGTGATCACTGCTAATACAAGTCAATGCTGCAATTACGTGCCTTGTGTTTTGTTTTATCCAAGATGGCGAGCGAAAATGTATATAACGAACAACGTATATATCGAACTGATTTCTCTGGTCCCTTGTAGTTCGTTATATCCATGTTACTGTAGTAACCTGCTAGGAGGGCAACTGTGAAGTTTTGTACATTAAGAAGATATAGTAAGACCGATGTTAAAGGTTTTAACTCACCAAAAGTAAGCACCTGTGTATCCTCCTATGCAAACAGAAGGAAAGTGATGAAGAACAGATATCTCAATCTGTATTTGGTAACCATTTGTAGAAGAGGCATGTTTTGGGTTCTGTGTTATATGATCGAAGTGAGGAAAAAAACTGAATAGGTAGTAAGGATAAAATAAATAATTATTTTAAAAAAAAATGAAACTAAATTGTTAATTAAGTTCATGAACTTAGGAAGGTGATTGTAAGTACATCAGTGGAAGTTAGGAATATTGAGCTATGGACCGTGATCCTGGTGAGCTAAAGCAAATCCTCCCACAAGCAGCAGCATGGAAAGGGAAGAACAGAGAGAAAACGATGGATAATATTGCTTCTGAAAAATAAACAAGTTAAGTATACATGAATTAACATACAGCTTGTACAATGAGATACATGGCTAAACATGTGCTTGTAGTGTAGGATTCATCTGCCACTGTAAGCTGGAGGTATTGATTTGCAGTACAGTGCTTGTCTTTGTACATGACTGGCACACTCAGTCAGCCACCTGTTGCTCACATGCTTCACAAGCCAGCAGAGAATGTCATCAATTGATGACAGGGTTATGAAAAGCAATTGACATCCTTTGCAATGCAAATTAATTGTTATTCGATATCGTAAAAGGTTGAATGTTTTATACTGAATGTGTTCTATAATCATTGCATACAAGCACTAACACGGTCCTATCATCATAATACGGCTAGGACCAACAATATGACTAAACTGTATCTAGACATCATGGTACAAGGAGTGCTACAACAAATCACTCAACAAAATCAGCTGGGTCTACTTGAAAAATACAACAGATCATGGACCTGGAACCAAGCATCCTGAAAATCTTTGTCATGCCCCGTTTATTCCTCTGAATATTCTGCCCACAGTTTGTGTATTTGGTTCAGCTGCAGCCTGTAGGCATGGAAAGTACGTACTAAGTACATGCAAACTGTTAAGGATGCACTATCATCCCTTTCAGCTACCCCTCATTGTAAATAAAATGGTTTAATACAATCTCACAATAAACCAGGGATCCAGAAACCGGTCAATGCTCCGGACTTGTCTGGTTGTGACTGCAAAATGTCCGATTTGAAAAAGTGCAAACTGGACATTTTAAAGTTTGCCAACCAGATATTCTTTAGAAAGTTCTTGCCAGACATTACAACCTGAGACCGGATATCATAACAAAGGATATAAAGTAGGAGGTGCAGCCAGACTGTGTTTTTGTTGTTGATTAGTGAATATACGACTTGCAAGGGGGACCAAGCACTATCAGTCAACATCATATTATGTGCAGTAAAAAACTACATTGTATCCCTTCAGGGAATTCAAGTGATAACAAACTAAAGACTAAAAAAAATAATAGTCTTGGTCCTCAGGCACCGTCTGCATCATCAAAAAGTCTACCGCATGTTTCGTTTTTATTTCCATTTAAAAAACCAACTGCTTTTCAACCACATGACTCCGGCAGTGAAATGCTAAAAGACTTAAAAACAATGCGATCCAATATAGCCTGCAGTTACTTCCCTTTACATGCGCACTGCTTTACTATGCATCTTGTGTTATGGTCAAGATGGCAATAGGAGTTTGTTTGCATTTTTAGCTGTTTGCAAATTTGGTCAATAAAAACACTAAATTTATGATAAAACATCACTAGACATGATGATTTACAAATTCAATGGTATTTGTGTACTGTATGCCTGACAATGATTCATACGCAGAAATAAATATAAGATTACATGTGTATTTGTCTCGTAAAATGAGCCGGAAATAGCATCAGCTGTTTACACATTTTCTCCCCTAGTTATGGGTGATGCTTAATGCCATGGCCAATATTATAATTGAAAAGAAATTTCAATACAGTGATAGGAAGACCGAAGACTTTGTATCTCGAATGATTAATGTTGTTTCAAGGCGGGTTCATGGTGTGTTGATTTGAATTGCCAATCAGTTCACACACGATTTCGCCAAAATTAATGTGAACAAAATTGTATGAAATCTTGGATAAAAGTAAGACAATGAATTTCAAACACGATGAACCCTTTTATAACCAGATAGTGTAATAACCTGCATACTTCAGTACAGATTTGTTGACATATTTCTAACAGTGTTGTGTGCTCACGATAACGTCTTTGCTTAGTGAAATAAAATCAAAGCTCATTGTACGCATGTATTATGCACACACTGTAGTCAAGGAATACATTTATGCAGGGAGGCCTTTTCCCAGGTTGATTGTACACAACTGTTTATTTGGTTACATACTAGTTTGAACAGAAAGAAACAAGAATATGAGGGATGCAGGATGTCCAGGTGACACTACAGTAATATGAAAAAGCGTGAGCTGAGGTTTAGAACTGATGTACCGAGCTGATGCTAGTAGCATGTAAACCTTCTACTCTGGGGTGACAAGCACCAGAGAGGTCGAAAGGTCAGCTCTGGGCATCAGGAAGAGTCAATGGCACTTGGGATTGGTGACCTGCAGGGCAACAACCATGGGGTCAAAGCTGTGGGTGCCCTCTACATCCTCTAAGGCTCCGTCTCTCCAGTAGTGCCAGGCGGGAACTGTGTCAGAACCCCAGAAGCAATAGCTGTGGAGAGCCATGGTGGAGACAATCACTCTGCTCTCGTGAGATTTATTGGCCCTGGGGGAATCCAAGCTCGTTCACCCTTGTCACAGTAACCAGAGCCAAGAGGAAGACCAACTTCTTGGTGAGGTTGTAAAATGAAGCTGAGTGAAGCGGCTCAAATGGGGCATCACACAGCAACTTAGAGCCACATTCAAATCCCATGCCGTGGGTCTGAAACTCTGCCTTCTGATCCTCTAATCTGAAGCGTAGCAAAGCATGGTGTTCCGGAATCTTTACCATTCTGCGAACTTCTGGGACTGCCAATACCAGGTAAGTAGTAATGGTAATGCCCTTGAGGTGTCTCCTGTGCAGGAACAGAAGAAATTCTGCCAAGACGCAGTGGGGTCATGATGTTTTTCCTTGCAGAAACTCTCAAAGAATTGCCACATGTCGCTGCTCTGGCCAGAAAACCCTTGATGCCTAAGGCCCTTTGCAGATATACCAGGGTGAGATGAAGGCCAACCTGTCTGTTTGGCCAACCTGGGTTGTCTGTGGACATGTCTTTGCTATCCACGAACCAGGCCCTCGTTGGTCACCAAGGCACGATCAAAGTCAAGAGCGAGGCTCTTTGTCTTCTGCAATGGCAGGACCAGAACGTCTGTTGAAGGAGGGAGTGTGTCATCCCCTGATTGCGTAGGCACCACACCACCGTGATGTTGTTGGTGGAAAATGCACTCCTCTTCCTTTACTTCTACAGGATCGCTAGTGCCCGCTGGAAGGACAGCTAGTGGGCTTACAGGAGCTCAAGCGTGGTGGTGCCGGTGCTGAAAGCGTTGACACCAGGAACGCCGTCGACGCCAGGGGAGGGGCAGGCACTGGTGTGGTCACGGACGTGCAAGTCATCAGCGTCTGGAGACATGAGAGTCTGCCCTGGCGACAAAGTTTGGAGAACCGTGGGTGAAGTCATGCCCGAAGGCGAAGTGGAGGGTTGCTGCATCTCAGCCGTAGTAGTATTGAACAAAGCAAGTGTTTGCAGTGGCAGGCATCTTAGGGTGTCTGAGCGCCAGCTGGGTCTGGTGTTTCTTAGATACCCTCAGATAATTGGAGAAGGCTTGAGAGGCGAGGGGATGGCAGAAACAGCACTGAGATGTTGTCGAACAGGGGTCTGTGCAGTCCAAACACAATGGGCAGGGTTCTCTGCTAGACTTGTTACTAGGACAAGTAATATGAGGCATAAATCTGTAAATTATGCAAAAGTTGCATTCATAATTGCGTGCAACAGAACAATGAAAACAGGCAGGCAATTTATAACCTAAAAACTCATTGGTTGAATGAGAAAATCACACAAGAGAAAGTGCAAACCAACACTTACACGCCCGCAAAGAGTATAGGCAATATACATAAAACAATTACCAAGCTATAAACAACAATTCAAGATGCACGGCACGAGAACGTGACCATGAGAAGACTTCAAAATGGCCAATTGGAACAACAATAGAGCTACTACCAAGCGCCAAAGTATATTGCAACAAAATGGGGAGACATAAAGTCACAAACCATAAGCAATATACCCCTATCATCAATGACAGTCTCATTTTGTTTCTAATATATATATATATATATATATATATATATGTGAATGGTAGATTGTGTAGTGAACTTACTTTAGTGGCTGCAGTCTTGGCCAGGAAGGTGGAGCTGTAGAGTTGATTGAGTCTAGGCACTTGAAGCTGAAGCTTACCAAGCTGTCGAAGTCATGTCCTCCAGCCAGTGTGTGTGTCGCTGTATGATGGGAGGAATTCTTGCTGGCATGGGGCCTGAAGAACTGACAACAGAAGAAATACAGTTACTGAAGCATTATACTAAACCAGTCACTAAACCAGTCACTAAACCAGGCACCTGTCTGTCTGCATGTCATCCATGTATGTAATAATGTCACACTAGACACGAAAGAACATGACAGTCAGCATGTCATCCATGTATGTATTGATGTCACACGAGGCACATGTCAGTCTGCATGTCACCCATGAATGTATTGATGTCACACGAGGCACATGTCAGTCTGCATGTCATCCATGTATGTATTGATGTCACACGAGACACATGTCAGTCTGTATGTCACCCATGTATGTATTGATGTCACACGAGGCACATGTCAGTCTGCATGTCATCCATGTATGTATTGATGTCACACGAGACACATGTCAGTCTGTATGTCACCCATGTATGTACTGATGTCACACTAGGCACATGTCAGCCTGGATGTCAACCATGCATGTACTGAAGTCACACGAGGCACATGTCAGTCTGTATGTCACCCATGTATGTATTGATGTAACACTAGGCACATGTCAGCCTGGATGTCAACCATGCATGTACTGAAGTCACACGAGGCACATGTCAGTCTGTATGTCACCCATGTATGTATTGATGTCACACTAGACACTAGGCACATGTCAGTCTGCATATCACCTATGTATGTACTGATGTCACACTAGACACATGTCAGTCTGCATGTCACCCATGTATGTATTGATGTCACACTAGAGACGAGGCACATGTCAGTCTGTATGTCACCCATGTATGTATTGATGTCACACTAGACACATGTCAGTCTCTATGTCACCAATGTATGTACTGATGTCACACTAGACACTAGACACATGTCAGTCTGTATGTCACCCATGTATGTATTGATGTCACACTAGACACATGTCAGTCTGCATGTCACCCATGTATGTATTGCTGTCACACTAGACACATGTCAGTCTGCATATCACCTATGTATGTACTGATGTCACACTAGACACATGTCAGTCTCTATGTCACCAATGTATGTACTGATGTCACACTAGACACATGTCAGTCTGTATGTCACCCATGTATGTATTGATGTCACACTAGACACTAGACACATGTCAGTCTGTATGTCACCCATGTATGTATTGATGTCACACTAGACACATGTCAGTCTGCATGTCACCTATGTATGTACTGATGTCACACTAGACACATGTCAGTCTGTATGTCACTCATGTATGTATTGATGTCACACTAGACACATGTCAGTCTGCATGTCACCCATGTATGTATTGATGTCACACTAGAGACGAGGCACATGTCAGTCTGTATGTCACCCATGTATGTATTGATGTCACACTAGACACATGTCAGTCTGTATGTCACCCATGAATGTATTGATGTCACACGAGGCACATGTCAGTCTGCATGTCATCCATGTATGTATTGATGTCACACGAGACACATGTCAGTCTGTATGTCACCCATGTATGTATTGATGTCACACGAGGCACATGTCAGTCTGCATGTCATCCATGTATGTATTGATGTCACACGAGGCACAGGTCAGTCTGCATGTCACCCATGTATGTATTGATGTCACACGAGGCACATGTCAGTCTGTATGTCACCCATGTATGTATTGATGTCACACTAGACACGAGGCACAGGTCAGTCTGCATGTCACCCATGTATGTATTGATGTCACACTAGGCACATGTCAGCCTGGATGTCATCCATGTATGTATTGATGTCACACGAGGCACAGGTCAGTCTGCATGTCACCCATGTATGTATTGATGTCACACGAGGCACATGTCAGTCTGTATGTCACCCATGTATGTATTGATGTCACACTAGACACGAGGCACAGGTCAGTCTGCATGTCACCCATGTATGTATTGATGTCACACTAGACACGAGGCACAGGTCAGTCTGCATGTCACCCATGTATGTATTGATGTCACACTAGGCACATGTCAGTCTGTATGTCACCCATGTATGTAATGATGTCACACTAGACACGAGGCACATGTCAGTCTGTATGTCACCCATGTATGTATTGATGTCACACTAGACACATGTCAGTCTGTATGTCACCCATGTATGTATTGATGTCACACTAGACACATGTCAGTCTGTATGTAAATACACAGAGATACATTTCCTGTGAGAGAATACTACACCATCTGACAATTGACACAGACATTATACACATCCCATTACACAAGTGTTATATCTGTATGTAACATACCAACATTGTAGGGTAGCCCTGGGTATCAAAGGTTCGGCACAGCCCACTGTTGTTTGCATTGGAGCAGTCCACAGCTCCCACTGACAACACGCTCACCCAACCTGGGAGGAGGATAAGGACAGTTAGCATTTCCTTCCGGGAGACTGATTAGCAGAAAACTGTGCAGATACAAAATCAGTGTGAACATTGTTGTAATTTGTGAGCCATAGATGCACTTTAAACATGTTGGCTTCACCTAACTGCATACCTGACATCAGAAATACTTGCAAACATTTGCCTTGCCCAAACATGACAATAAAAACAACCTTAAAATCTGTCTAGACAAAGCAGATTCCCAATCCTCTTCTGCCAAGACAATAAGACGTAAGCTTTAAGAAATCATTGACATCATGCCCTCACGAAAAGTTGCTCCGAGGCGTTGTTTGGAACAAAAAGATTAGCTTTAATATTAATGAGGTTCCTAAAAATTATTATCTTAATGATCCTGTTATTAAAACAAAATTGTTTGGGATGAGCAACTTCTTTATTACAATTGGGCAACGTTTGGTGTAGATTCTAACACCGTTATCAAACAAATGATGTACAAACTAGGTATGAGCATGATATATACACATAACAATAGATAGATGTTTATATAACAGAAAAGGTTGATGTACACTGATTGATAAGGTAGTTATGATAAGACAAGTTTATACAAGAGATAGGGTTGATGTACAGTGATTGATGGGTAAGGGATTAACACAAGGATTACTAAGAAGGAATGTATGGGAGGCCAGTGGGGAGGTAATAGTTCAGTGTTGTTTTGGTGAGCTGATGAGATCATGGTAAGCTGGAGGGATGTAGTATCCTTGATCTCTGTTTATGGCTGGCTGAATTCTTTTGATGCAAATGGCTTCTCTAAACCAACGCTTAAAAGAACATCATGCCTCTGTCCTAAAAAAAAAAGACTCTAAATCTGTTATCTCTGACCACACCCAAATCCACCCCAGCCACAATATTAAGTGGGACAACGTCAACATCTTAACAACAAACCAGAAAGACTTCAAGCTCAGAAAATTTAGAGAAGCCATTTGCATCAAAAGAATTCAGCCAGCCATAAACAGAGATCAAGGATACTACATCCCTCCAGCTTACCATGATCTCATCAGCTTGCCTAAACAACACTGAACTATTATCTCCCCACTGGCTTCCCATACATTCCTTCTTAGTAATCCTTGTGTTAATCCCTTACCCATCAATCACTGTACATCAACCCTATCTCTTGTATAAACTTGTCTTATCATAACTACCTTATCAATCAGTGTACATCAACCTTTTCTGTTATATAAACATCTATCTATTGTTATGTGTATATATCATGCTCATACCTAGTTTGTACATAAGCTTAAATTCCTGGGCCGCGTCCCAATCAAACCCTCTCATCCAAAACTTAATAAACCAAAACATCAGCCCCAAAAACCAAGCTCTAGCTCGTAAACACCTCTTACTTACCCCAATATCCCAAAGAATAACAAACTACCTAAATGAACACCAAATTAAAAATCTTAAACAAAACTGCAAACAATAAAATATCTTCACCCCTAAACTTAAAATACCCAAAATAGACACAACACTAGCTAGCCAAATAAATAAACAAACCGACCCAAACATAGCTAAAACTACCACACTAACATACATACACGAAAATTGGCCAAATTGGTGTGACATTTACACAGACGGATGCTCAGATCCGACCTCCAAACACACAGGTTTCGGAGTCCATACCACACAACCAACTAAAACCACACAATCCTTCCGACTCCCAAACAACCAATCAATATTCACGGCAGAACTAATGGGCAGTGTAAACAAGCAAAAAATCACAAAAAAATGGTATAACCTACATCTAAACTCAAATAGCCAAATCAAAAAAGTGCTCAGCAAACCACTAACCAAACCAAAAATTCTCCATCCATCAAAAAAATCGACAGAGTAATCACTAAACTAACTCCAAACAGGACACACCAACCTAAATAACCACCTAAAAAAAATAAAGAAACACACTACAGGTAACTGCCCACACTGCAAACAACCAGAAATCCCAGAACACGCACTCATCCACTGCACACACTACCTAACACATCGAACCGCATTACAAACCACCCTCAATCTAAACAAGGCTCTCACTCTAGAAGCAATACTAAACCCACAAAATAAACTAGAAAACTTCAAGGCCTTAGGCGTATTCTTAATAAAAACGGAACTAATAAAACGCATCTAAAAACACAATAACCTACCAAATCAAAATCACATAAACAAACAAAACATCCACCATACCCAGCTCCCTTAGTTCTCCTCCCCAACCCCATCGGCATCTATTCCAAATCTCAAAATTCCCAAATTCTATATAAGCAACCCCTAAACCCCCCTCTTGGGTTGCACAGACCACTTTCGCCCCTTTCGGAAACACATTAAATGGCCTGGCCGGGCCCGTGTGCGAAATACGCATCAGTCGGAAAGCGCACGCTAAGTCTCCAAAGTAAGTAAGTAAGTAAGTAAGTAAGTAGTTTGTACATCATTTGCTTGATAACGGTGTTAGAATCTACTCCGAAACGTCGCCCAATTGTAATAAAGAAGTTGCTCATCCATAACAATTTTGTTTTAGTTACCATTCCAACTTCTAAATGCCACTCAAAGAAGTGATCCTGTCATTGTATAAATATAACTTACTGATCAGCATACCCACAATCATTGCATAAAATCAGCCATGGGTACCCACATACATTAATTATAATTTAATCAATGTTCGTTGTACACCTAGCAGCAAGAGGTTTTAGGCATAGGCCTATTCCATGCGTAACTGGCACACTGTTTACTTTATTATATTCATTTTATTACAAAGAATTCTGTTTAAAAGTTTCAACTATTCTGAAAACACCAAAGTGTATACATTGAAATAGTCAAATAATGTCAATAAGAATGGTTCTACAAAAATGTATGCCTTCAAATACCCTTGGCGTATGTAGCAAACTTCTTCCATGTGGGTGCGAAGTTGATGCAGTGGCCGCACCAGCTGTTGTAGAACTCGATCAACCAAGCATTCTCTTTGTCCAAAAAGTGATCGTAGAAATTTTCATTGGTTAAAACTGTCACATCGTCAGAAGGTGAATAAAGTCCATGTTTCTTCGTTTGACCCGATTCGGCATATTCGTTAAAAACTATGAATGTCAACAGAAACAGACAGGCGTTCATCTTCCTGATTCGGACATTGCTCGCTGTCAAACCCTGCAAAGTGTCAACAAGAGCTACGTTAACGTGAACCGGTAAGTACTATTCTCTTCACAACTGTTATCAATAGTAGAAACAATTTTAACCTTTTGATTGATTAGTAAATTTGTTTAGAAGAAATATCTCAATATCCAATTATCAGGCATTTGTGTATATATTCCAATTATTCTATGGTGACTTGTTAATAATAATATTATTAAAAAAAGAAAGAAATTACCATACTAAACATTAGTCGTACGAACGTACTATATTTTATCTTCTGATCTCAGTCGCAGAAGATTTCCAATACAAAGCCACGTGGTGAAACGTGCCTAGAGTCACATATTATGTTCATGATTATTTCCGTGATGACTACGGGTGATCGATTTGGATCGTGTAACATGTTTTCCGCCACGCACTGAAAAGCTAGCGATTTATCGCGTAGATTATAGACGTCGTAGGTTGACTTTCCTTTTTGAAGTACACATTTGGTTGTGAAAATAAATTAAATGTATAGATCTTTTTGTAATTAAATTGAAAAACCCCGTAGGCTTACAACAGAAATGATGTACTGACATTTTAAAATGTCAAAGTCGGCTTCTACCTTATACAGTTAAATTTGTTACAGAATGTATAAACCGTTTCCTTATCAATTTGCTATGTGTACGTTCAGGACGTATGTGTATAGAAGTCTTATACTCCGTTCTATATATAAAACAATTTGATAACAATTTTAGGATCAGGCGCTGTTTCTCCTTTTTCTGCTTGGCTCCTTTAATTTGTTTTATGTTTTTAGCGAATAGTGAATTTTTACACTGTATGATCAGACCAATTTAGCTACAAAATAATCTTGAAACCTCTAAAACTAGACTTTTCGACATATTTAGCCTTACGTATAAATTTAGTGATGCCATAAGTAAATCATATGAAAATGTTGGTGTGAACAGACTGATTCTCATTTAAAAGAAAAGAAAAATTGATAACATTTAAAAACGTTTCAAAAGGTTTTGCTCATTTATAACATTGTGCAGACCCTTTGGGTAGAAAAGGGACCTGGTCAGGCATCTTTCCGTTAGCATTATATGCTAACGGAAAATAGTAATTGCGCTTCATGTAAATGTAACCGGAGTGGTTTAGGTGAATGAATCACTAAACGCAGGTTGATTTGTTGATGACAGTTGTTTATTACAGTGGCATAAATAACAGAGGCCCTGTGAAAATAAATACACAGAGTTAAAATATGCACAATACCTACACATACAAATAAATCATGACATTATAACATATTAACAAATATTAGAATCTCATATATGATCATATACATTGTTATGATCCATCGTAATTAGTTTTATCTTACTTTACTCTAAATATTACAGGGGATTTATCATATAATAAATTGACAAACATAGTTTATCAATAATGGGAGAATGATGATAAATGCATTAATACATAACACACCATTTCAGTACACATCACCATAAATACATAAAAAATATAAATGTCCTCACCAGGTGTATGGCACTGTGCTCTATGATGTCACAACATCAGACATCATTTGCTTTACAGGGACACACCTGAACATAAATATATATATATAACATAATTACAGTGTTACATATTACATCAATATGTTTACATCCTTAGGTATATACAATAACCCTAAAATATATATTCTAATCACTCACCTCATCATACAGACATACATTCATACATGTGCAGTTCGGTGCAGAACTTTTATTTACAGGTAAATAGCTCCAGTCTATCAATAAATACTCAAATGTACTCATTATGCGTGGTTACACAATAAGTTAAGTAATATCAACATGGAAATGCTAGTTAAGATTATCTATTGTAAACATACTTACATACTTAAAGTATTTAAGCAAATTTAGCCTAACTACATTTATCTGAATACGATGACTGATATGATATATATTTATCACACCTAACAATATAAGTATTATTAAAAGAAGTTAAGAAACCATACATATGCACCTTAACAAACCCTTCAAAGCACTAGATAAGAACACATAAATATACAATTCAAACAAACTAACCTGTGACAGTTGATTGAATTATTTCAGCGATGAACTGAGAACTTGTCTCCATACATAGTCAAATACAAGTGTAAATTCAAACTGACCAGTCCCATAATGCACCCTGTCACTGAAAGTAAGGGACTGGGGCTAGACAATAGAGACCAGAGAAACAATAGAGAAGGCAAGCGCAAGGGTGACTGTACGTGCTATTGTATTAGTGAAGCAGGTTAGATTGGAGGGTAGACTAAAACTTAGGTATTAAAATAAGAGGTGACCTTAAAATACACTTGGTGATATGTACATAATTACATACTACTACATAAAGTTAGATATAAATAAATTTATTATGAAATATAATAATACATATTTCAATACATATTGAAATGGACCCGTGAAGATCCGGGGTAGAATAGGAGCTCATAGATCGAGGTAGATCGATGCTCATGATGTCAATCACTGGATTGCCTGGTTCAGACTCGATTATTGACAGACCGCCGTCATATGGCTGGAATATTGCTGAGTGGGGCGTTTAACAACAAAACAAACAACCAATATATTAAGATGACGACATCTCCTCGACTTTAAGGTCGTCATTCAGAATTTGCACGTGCGTGTTCATGTAACGTCACGTTGCAGCAGGACACAGCCCGCCCACATAGTTCACGTGTTGTTACAGACTTTTCGAGGCAGCCTAACATTGTTGTACTGTCATGGCCGGCTGTTTCTTCACATGGTGGTCACACCCGATAGTGACTTTGTTAATGGAGTTACGCCACCACTCTTTTAGGGCGTGTCTCCTACTGCCAGATATGGGTTTTGTCAATGAATTTGTTATGATAAAACATTGATCATACGAATCACCAAATATGTTATTTTATATAACATAACAGTTACACCACTTTATAAGAACAGTTACTTTTCCCCGCTAGCATACATGTATGTACAAACAAGCAATAACACAATCAACCAGCGCGGTCTAGGATCTGCGTGTTGGTTTCATGGAATATTGGAAACGGGACATGGTCGTAATTAAACCACTTAGAAATAAAGTGTTTCGTTCTTCACGGTAATAGTTTATTAGCTATTTCAGACATTCGTGAGAAATTTAACATAAATCATAAATCAAAACGTGATTATGGAAATTAATGCTATTTATCACGAAATGTCATCTGATCTCCTGAAACAGATACATCTTACACTCTGGCCGTAACGTGCCGAGTGAAGTATTACCGGGGGCGAACTTGAACTCCAAAGGGATATAGTTGCGTCCAACAGGTTAGCGAACGCACGTTTTGATCAACTGACTTACAGTTGTCTCCCTTAGATGATAGACGCGGCAGTGTTATTGATATCTTGCGTGTGAATTGCTGTACGGGACCCGTTGTGTCTCCTCACATACAGCTGCGTTTACTGAGACCTGTTGTCGTTCTGGTGACTATTTAACACACTATTTTGTTATGCTTCAAAACTGTAAAGATATGCGTATTTATCAGTGAAAGTGCCTTAAGTTACTACCACACGCACATGCTATCATTTGTAGAATATTGTGTTCTGAACTAGTGTTGATTAACATCGGACACCACCATCATATACTAACACCCCCCCCCCCCCCCCCCCCCCCCCCCCCACATATATTTACTATTTATCAGGTATAACGGGAAATAGACGAATTGAACGTTTCATATCCGTTTTCAGACCAATTTATAGCTTTAATTTAAACTGGTTAAAATTATAGATTTTCATCAATAATGATTGACCAACATATTTGGTATTGTACTTCTGTTATATCCGAGTTATGAGAGCTAATTGAATTTGAAGTCTAAAGCAATAAAGTAGGTATTATAGTCGGCGTACAGAGAGACAGTTGTGCATGTCCCTAACAGCACCAACACACGAACAGGGTACATATGTACAGGAATATAAGGACTTATTTGCATACGACTTATTATTTTATATACTCGACACTGTATCAGAATATGGATGTGTCGGATTGTGTGTTAAAAGACCTAAATATTGAATATTGCTTTTGTGGCCAAGTCAACGTTTTTGAGTATTTGTACATATTAGGTAGATATTTTAGATGTTTCATTTCAGCTTTTAACTTTACATACAGTACACTACAAACTCTTAGAGTTATACAAGCCCTCAATACAATAAGTCTAGCCCTGCACCCTGCACTTAACAATAGCCACCTTACTGGGTCAGGCCAGGTTCTGACCAATGCGCTTGCACTCTGCACAGGTTTCTTTCGTTCTGCTGTAGTTTCTCTGGTCAGCTTACTCTCTATTGTGTATTTAGTTTTAAAGGTTTCTGTCGGGCATATCTAGTAGGCAGTCTTACATATATCTTGAGGAGGTCACTTTGATCGTTTTCCTTAAAATCATCCCCTTTGCTGATTGCGGATGTTGAACCTTGTGTACATTCATGGAACGCGGTGTTTGTGTATTGAAGATTTCATTATCCAGGTTAGTTCATTTGATTTATGTATTTCATATACTATATATGGTCTCAAGGAAGAGAATATATGGATGTCAACTTCTTTATCATCAGGAACACAACGTTTCGGAGTATATGCTTACTCCTTCATCATTCACCTGATGAAGGAGTAAGCATATACTCCGAAAAGTTGTGTTCCTCATAGTAAAGAAGTTGACATCCATATATTCTCTTCCTTATGTGTATCACTTCTAAATGCCTTTCAAAGACCAATATGTGGTTTTGTACATATTGTTATTCTTAAGAGGTGTTAGATTAATGCATTGGTGTACAATTAAACTTAGCTGGTAGTTAAAGTAACGTAGGTATTTCAAGTACAGTTGGTTGTATGTGGAATTTCATTCATTTAAATTTAGACTGTATGGTATTGCACCTATACAATATGTTATCTAGTTAAATATTGCATTACCAGTATTAACTTTACTAAACTAAATTAATATTTAAACATTTCCTAAAGCTATTCATAACTGTGTGAATGTTGTATGGAATAAGAACGTATCTATGGTACATCTCTTGTTTTTTATAACTTAT